CTCCAGCACATTCAGGACTTGGAGGCAGGAGGATCAGAAGTTCAAGATCATCTTTGGATACACAGTGAGCTTGAAGGTAGCCTGGACTACATGAGACATTGTTTCCAAAGCATAATAAGTTCCTTTTTTGTTTGTTTTTGAGGCAGGGTCGCTCTATGCAGCTCTACCTGTCCTGGAACCAGGCTGCCTAGAATACACAGAGGTCCACCTGCCTCCCGAGTCCTGGGATTAAAGGCATGCGTCACTATGCCTGGCCGATAAGCCCTATTGCATTTTATTTAGGCAGGTGCAAGTCTGAGGTCAGCCCGGGTTACAGAAATGCTATTTTCTACTACATATCAGCCGGAATGGCTTATGCCAGTGTAAGTACTGACAACTCCAAATTCAGGCGAAGCTGCGAAGTGACTGGGTGGCTCCCATTGCAGGTGGAAGTGCAGCATTGTGCTGCGCCTTTGAGAAGCTGTCTGGCCTTTCCCGGGGCCGGGCAGATGGCCCAGTGCAGAAGAGTAGAGCTTGCTGAGAAAGCACTAAGGGTCTGGGTTTGAACCCCAGCAACCACGTCAAAGGCTGGGCCTGGCCCATGCCTGTCTATACCCTCTGTGCTGAGGAGAGGAGGAGGCCTGATGGAGCTTGCTGGCCAGTCTAGCACCAGGTTCAAATGGAGTCCCCACTCTCAAGGGAATAACACAGAATGTTTTAGATCAGGGCACTCCAGGCCTTTACCTCTGCATGCACAGGCACACGCACGGGCGCTGTTCTAGCTTACTTTGTGTTGCTGTGATAAACAATGACCAAAAGCAATTTGGCAGGGGTAGGGTGGGGTTATTTCAGCCTCCGGGTTGCATTCCATCACCCAGGGAAGTCATGGCAGGAACTTGAAGGCAGGAACTGAAGCAGATCAATGGCTTGCTTCCCCTGGCCTGTTCAGCCTACTTTCTGATAAGACCCAGGCCCTGTGGTGACACCACCCACATTCGGCTGGGCCCTCCCATATCAATGAACAATCAAGACAAAGCCCCCACAGGCCAATCTGATGGAGGGAATTTCTTAGTGAAGGTTCCCTACAGGTGTGTCTAAATGTGTGTCAAAAACCATGTCAGGCACATGCAACACACACACACACACACACACACACACACACACACACACACCCCTTCCTGATGGCCCCACAAACCTTCTTCTAGGTATCTGTCAAAGGAAAGTCTGTAAATGAACATCTTCATGCTTTTGTTCATGGATTACCCAAAGCCAGTTTCCACAGTCTAGAGATGATAATGCTTGCCTAACACATAGGTGACTCAAACTTAAGACAACCAGAATTTCCTGTTTCTTTGAAATCTGTTACTGTGTGTGTGTGTGTGTGTGTGTGTGTGTGTGTGTGTGTGTGTGTGTGCATATTTAAGTCAGAGTACAATGTGTTGGATTGGTTTCTCCACCATGTAGGTTCTGGCATCAAGCTGAGGTCCTCAGGCTTGGCAGCAAGTGCCTTTAACCCTAAGCCATCTCAGGGGCTCCTGAAATGGTTAATTTATATTCTTTTCACTTCTCCTCTGTTTCCAAACCCACTTCCTGTAGAACAACATGCTTCAGAAACATTCTGACTCTGTGAAATGGCTACATGGTATCCAGCCATTTACAGGTAAAGAGAAGTTCAAAGAATTTGACCAACTAGCTGAAGGCACACATTCCTCAAAGTGACAGAATTGGACCCCAATCCAAACTTTGGGCTCCAGAGCATGAGCTATACAACTGTCCAATGGCTTCTGGGTAGGGAATTCACCTACCAGTAGAGGTCAATAGGGGCTGGCTGTGGCCTGGAGGTTCCATGATACAGACTCTTTCATGTTTTTTTTTTTTTTTTTTTTTTTTTTTTTTTTTTTTTTTTTTGGGGGGGTGGGGGTGATGGTGGTGGTGGTGGTGGGGTGGTGGTGGTGGTGGTGGCGGCAGAAGTTGTTTTGTTTTGTTTTTTTTCAGTGCTGCAGATGAATGGATTCTGGGCTAAGACACAGCTAGTAAGTGATGTACCACTGAGCCACACCCCAGCCCCTCACTGGGGGATTCTAGGTAGATGCTCTACCACTGAGCCACACCCCAGCCCCTCACTGAGGGATTCAAGGCAGGGGCTCTACCACTGAGCCACACCCCATCCCCTCACTGGGGGTTCTAGGCAGGGGCTCTACCACTGAGCCACACCCCAGTCCCTCACTGGGGGTTCTAGGCAGGGGCTCTACCACTGAGCCACATCCCAGCCCCTCACTGGGGGTTCTAGGCAGGGGCTCTACCGTCAAGTCATGTCCCCAGTCCCATTTCATGTTATTTTCCCAGACTCCCAGGCTATCCTTCTGCTGTGAGCTCCCTGGGGACCCAAATGTGTCTTAGACAGAGAACATGTGCCCAACTGGTTTCATAAACAGGGTTGCAACAGAGGAAAAGCATAAATAACTGTGGATCTTGTAAGAATGAACCAGAAAATATCTATTGGTAGTGAAGGGGCCACTGGGAGGGTCTCACACACCCTGGGCCCTGGGTTGCTATGAGGACCCAGAGGATAAGAAAAGGAACCACCAACGGATGGGACCACATGAAATGCAAGTTTCTTCATGGCTAAAGAAACAGCAGAGTACACAGATACCCACAGAACGGGAGATCTGGAACTACACCTCAGACAGGGGACTGACATCCAGACGTTACAAAAGCCCGCAGATAGTAATACTTAAAGAAAATACAACTGCCTCTTAAGAAACGGGCTAATGGCCGGGCGGTGGTGGCGCATGCCTTTAATCCCAGCACTGGGGAGGCAGAGGCAGGCGGATCTCTGTGAGTTCGAGGCCAGCCTGGGCTACCAAGTGAGTTCCAGGAAAGGCGCAAATCTACACAGAGAAACCCTGTC